GCGAGGGAACAAGAAAGTGTCTGAGCGTGAAGCATGAGTTCAAACTGTCTGTTGTTCAAAGGTCTGTGTTGTGGCATTGCTTTGTTTGGGTGCTAGGTATCTTAGCCTCTAAAAGAAACCCTGTTGTGAAAATGATATAAAGGAAGCATAGAAATGCATGTGTTTTTCCTTTAGTTCTCTATTTGCTTGCATTTAATAATTGAAGAGAGGGAACAGTTTTGATGCCAAATGCATGAAGGAAAAATACCTAAATTTGGGCCACATAAGCACCAAGCAGTTTTGTTTCACTTTTGAGGGCAGGTATCAAGACAAACACAAAAAAAAAAAATAAAGAAATATGCACAAAGTCCTTGATGATTAACAGGAAAAAATGTTATCCTGAAACACAGATGAGATACTTTCCACTACCTGTCTTTAGAAGGCAGATTTTGCAGGCTGTGCCTCGTGTTCAGGTCTCAGTGTCTCTGATCTCAATTCAGGTCTCCAAAACTTGTCCAAAAAGAAAATTCTGACAATAAATATGATTCATTGGACTCCTGATTTCTGTCTGTCCTGTGGCTCTATAAGGCTTTTAAACTATTTCCAGCCTTGAAATGATTTGTCTGCTCTTCCTACAGGGTATAAACCTGGATGAGCAGGGTTAAGACACAAAATTAGGAGTAAAGTCTGTCTGTTTTTGCCTAGGACATACACCTTGGACTGAGCTAGAAGCGGCAGGAATAAAATAAAATTTAAAAAATAGTAACAATAATAATAAAAAAATAAAAGCCTGCAGTGACTCAGGTCTAAAAGCTCCAAATATAATTAAAAAATCACTGAAGGGGAATGTTTTGCTATATGTATGAGCTTATGTTCTGCTGATGCTCGTTCCTTGGGCGTTGTGCTCTAGACAAACAGTTTCCTTCCCTGGGTAGCCCGATACAGCTCTTGGTGTCACCCAGGTATGTCCCTTATGCTTATTTGTGTGCTTTTATCTCTGCCACACAACAGCTGCTAAACCATTTCTTACCCTGGAAAATGGATTAGATGGCCAGATGGGGAAACTGCGATAGCCCAAGGTTTATGTAAATACTGCAGGAATCCCCGTCACCACCCCGGCCTACTGACAAAGTTTCATACCAGCACTTCTGTTGCTGCGGAAGGAGGCAGGCCAGGTGCTAGCAGGCCTTGTCTGTGGTGGGAGATGTAGGTTTAACTCCACGCTCTGGCAGCAACCTCGTTTTAACGTGGGTAAGTCAGCCTGCCTGTGCTTTAGCTCTTTCAGTTGTAGCCTGGGGATACAAGCATCAGGAATCACACAAGAAACGGGGTAAAGACCACAGGATGCCCTAATACTATGCTAATGGATGCGTAAGTACCACAGGCAGCAATAGGCAGCAGTGCAAGGCTCCTGTGTCCCTGGTATGCAGAGTATGCCATCTAAGAAATGTGTTTAATACCTGTAGGGGCGGTATTTGTTATTGAACTCGCAGTAATTTCTTCTTCGTGCTTGTTATTTCACTCAGTAGGTTTAGGGCGAAGGTTACCAGTTGAGTTTAATTGTGATAAATGCACATTGTTTTAGTGAGATGGGCTAACACACTACTTAGCAGGCTTCACTGACAAGCCCCAAAGGAATGTTTTTAGGGCAGCTTGTAACAATCAAAGGAAGGCTTTTTCCAGGGTCTTGGCCAAGTGTGAACTCATACCATCATTTCGAAGATGCCAGTTAGAAGTCTGTTGCTTGACTGCCTTTATTCCTTTCTGTTTTGGGGGCTTTTTTCCTCAAACATATCTTTGTTTGGCAGCCTTCCTGAACATACTGTGCTGCCACACTATGAGCGTGTCCATATGCTCTATTTTTAAATAAAGCTCTTAACACAGCTGCTGCTGTCACTGCTATTTGCAGTGGAGCATAGATGCCCAAGCCCTGCTGTGGCTGATGTTACAGAGGCACAGCAAGGATACATCTGCCCTGCCTTTCAGTTATGATCTCAGCAGCTGCAGTAACTTTCCTGCATGCCTCCGTCCACAGGGACTGAGCATGGTAGGAGGTTGTAGTTCTTTGATCTGCGCTCCCTTTCCCTCAGATCCTTTGACTCACACTCCTTATTAGTCCCTTTCTCGTCTTGAATGGTAAGGATGTGTTCTGTGTTGTGATCTCAGAGTCAAAGGTTCACAGAAATCAGGACTGGAAGGAGCTGCAAGAGGTCCTTCCTCCCGTCTCTTTGCACTGAAGTGATGCAGGGCCAGCTGTATTTATTATCCCTTATAGCTGAAAAGAATATAGTAGTCTTGTTTTTTTCCTTCTCCTTTTGGAAAGGATAGACATAGATCTTCAGATCTGTAATTGCAGACTTTATCATGTTCTTGTGTTCTTAGATGACTGCAACTGCAGCAGCATTATTGTGAAGTTATTTATGGCAGATGATCCTGAAGACCCCTTAGGTCTAGAGAAGCCCAGAGCAATCTATTCCATTGCTTATCCAGAATACTCGGAGGAAATTTGCTCTCGTAGCTGCTGTAGCGGCTCTTACAACCTTGGTCTTTGCCAGCGGAGACTCACAGCTCATTTTGTGCATATTTTATTTTTAGTTTTTCAAGGCAGGATGGTGATACGTTTGGGGTACTACTCACTTTCACGGAATGTGATAACTAATTCCAGAAGTAATTGTAGAAAGCAGTTCAGTGTAAGAGAGGAAACTTCAGCGTGAATCATTGCAGCTCTGCCACTCTGAGTTGGTTATGTTGGCAGGCTGGGCTTGTGTTGGACTCTCTCTATATCTGAAAAATAGTCTTCAATGGTAAGGTATTTTTCCCTAAGTGTGGGTGCAGTGGTTTGATTTTACTAGAGCTTGCCTCCTCATTTGGAAGCTCCTGTTTCCAGCGGGACAATGTCAGGAATCAGGGCTTGTCTGGGGTAGGAAGTTTTGTCAATGCCATTCTTGCAGCGATGGCTTTGACGTAGGTCACGCTCTCCCCCTGTGTTTTGCCATTTCACAGATTAATGCAGTGCGCTGTGCACAGCACACGGAGGGGCTGTGTATATCATGCTAACAGACAGTGTTTGCAAAAGCTGTAATTCACAGAGGCAGAGCCACAGCAATGAATTAGTGCTTTTGGCATTTGGGAGAGAAAGCCCATTTGAAATCCAGCTGCTTGCCAGCTGTGGCTATTCAGAGTGAATATTACACCGACCGCTTTTTTCGCTCCAACTTTTCATTTAAAAAGTGTAATGAATGATTTTATTGCCATCTTAAAAGTCTATTTATAATCCATTCATCACAAGATGAATGTGTGCATCTCATTCTCGACCTCTCTTTGATACTGTACAAAGCAGTGTTACTTAGTTTAAAGTTTTCTTGGCACAAATGTTAGACATTCACATTTCTTAACAGCTTGACTGACCTTAACTGTTCAATCCTCTACTTCTAAAATGTGAGCTTTAATGGGTATTTAATACATATCTATTTCTTGCTAATTTTTTTTTGTTTCTCTCTACCTCTTCTTTTCACAAGCCTTGTGCTGCAGTATCTGGGGGATGACTTGGAGGCCATGGAGGTTTTTCAGTACAGGCATAACCGTGTTAGTTCATTCTTAAACTGCTGTGTTTGTTTTTTTTATACCTAGGTGCCTAAAGGAAGGTACCTGATAGTCATTGCTCTGTTTTAAACCTGCCAGCTCTGGTAGCTAGTAGTGAAGGTACTGAAGGTAGGTAGTGAAGCAGGAGCAGTGCTAGCAGAAGGAACAGCAGAGGCTTAAACATCCAAGATGGGCAAGGAAGGAGGTTAGATCCTTGAACATGTGTCTGGGCATCACACTCAAATATTTCCTTCTAATTAAGGCCGTTTTCTGCCTTGTGTTCATGTGTTTAGCTGCCCTGCCTCAGCTTTTCCTTTGGAAACTGGGAGATTTGGGTACATGACCACATTGTTCTAAGACACGTTTGTCATCCCATACTCTTCCATGCTGGCTCTTCTGTCCTATGGTTATTAGAAAAATTGCTTTTCTGCCTTACCCATGTAGGGGAAAAAAACAGTCAAGATAATTTCTGGAAAAAAAAAAAAAAAGGCAAGACAGAGATGCCTCACTCTTCAAGGTTGCAGCTTGGCAAGCTTGCTATGAAGCCAGCCTTGGGATAGAGCAGGAGCTAGACTTCGTTGCTGTAAATCCTCCTTTGGAGGGGCCTCTCTGACATTGCTGCCTCCATCAGAAGCCCAGCCTCCCAACCTGGGAATCTGAAAGGAGGGCTGGAACAACACCCCCTGGGTGCAGCTGGGCTGCAGAATATTGGAGGCTGCCCTCGCTCCAAGAAAAACAAGCTGGAGGCTGTACAGCCTGGCCAGGTGGGAGTTCGTGGCTCGCGATGCTTGCTCCAATTTAGAAAAAAAAAAAAAAAAAAAGCTACTTTTTCTACTTTTCCATAATTGCCTGCCTAAGCAGGAGGAGAATTGCATCCATACGCAAGCGGTAATTGAAGGGAACAAGAGAAAATGAAGCTGTAGGATTTATGACGGGGGGGGATGAGGTACGGAAGAGGGATGTTAATCACAGAAAGCCAGGCACGGAGATATGCCTTGTGCAAAGGCGTGTGCTTCTGAAGGCAGTGGGTAAGGTTCAAGGCTGACCAGACAGCTTGAGCCCTTGTTACGCGCTAGAAGATCGAGAACAATGTGCCATGTATGCAATTTCCCTCTTGGTTTCTTCATTTCCTTGTATGTAGAGCTGGGTCTGTGCAGAGTCTTGTCTGGTATGCTGTGGCAAGTTCTTCCCTTGTGCTGTCAGTTTCTTTCTGATAGCAGAAAGTAAAGCACAATGGCATGTTCTGAGGCACCAAAATACAGAGAAAGTTGCTCATCCTTGCTCTTATTTCCATTCGTGACCAGAAGTATTTACACACCTAGCAATTATTCTTGTGACCATCAACTGAAAGCACACATCCAGGAACAAAAAAAAGAGTTGGTTCTTAAACAGTGAGGAGCATATCTGCCTCTTCTGAGTCTGTGACTTCATTTCTCTAGGGCACATAAGGGCAGGCAGCGATGCCAGCACTGCTCCCCAAATCACCTCGCTTCGTTGTGAAACTTCCAGTCGGATCTGGGCTGTGTAAGGTGAGTCGGATGGTTTGTGTTACACCAGCAGTGCAGATGATGGCATCCCTAACTCCCACTGCATCCATCTTATCTCCAGCTTCCTTCTGTACTTGCTTACCAGATGCCATATTTTACTGTTGTGATGAATTCAGTGTTACCCTACTTTCAAAAGTTTCGAGCTTTCTAAAATGTCCCCGTAACTGTATTCGATAGCCTTCTTTTATCTATTGCTAGCTAAAAAGGAGGAGAAATGGCCTGTGAGAGGTAGCATTAGGCATAAGAAACTGAGAAAGCAAAAGAAAATTACTTGCATATGACTTACCAGGGAACTAATGGACTGAAAAAAGAAAAAAAAAAAAAAGGAAAAAAAAGGGTGCAAATGCATTTTTTTTAAAGTGTGTGAATACATCTAATGATACAGACGGCATCTGCTTTAGTTCCTACTTGTGCTGCGTGAGAGGTACAGCAGCAGGAGTCATTAGCTGCCCAAAGAGCTCCTTGCAGAGTTCCCACTCCTTCCGTGGGTCTGCAAGTTCTGCTGTGTCCCTGCTGAATCCAGGCTGCATCCTGCACGGGCTTATGCGTGCACCCAGTTGGGTTAGGAACGGGGGAGCTGCTTGCTGAAAGCTGAGCGAGCACACCATTCGGTGGGGCATCCAGACCATTCTAATGTGATACCAATTCTGGGGTTGGTTAAGAAGCGGAAACAAATACTTTTTTAGTATGTCATGCATTGAATTCCAGTTTATGTACTGTGTTTCGGAAACACACAGATTACCCCGTATCCAAATCTGGTTCCCAACATAAATGGTATTTTTTTCTCTCAAATAGAGATTGTCTAATGTTCCTTTGCATCCTTTCAGAAAAACAGAGTTCTGTGTAAAGCTTGAAGACAGCTTTTGTTTATTTACTATTCTGTATTTCATTTTCTAAAGGGTTTCTCTTGCCCGAGTCTTTCAAAGCTATCACCTGACTTCATGAATTTCCAACTTAGATACACTTGCGGGTTTGATTTTGCAGGTAATTCTGGGTCTTTGTTGGCTATTTAAAGTGGCTAAAACTGTCCCCTCCTCACAAAGGCAGGCACCTTCATGCAGATTTAATATCTCTTTGATGTTTTTGCCAATGTACTCTCCCATACTTAGAAGTCTAGTCACAGAAACTAAGAGTAATACTGTTTAGAAGGACCTTTGCACCTTGGAAAGTCTTGCTAGTAATTGTTGTAAAATCACTGTATGAGTTAGGAATATGTTTTTACTTTCTAATATGAAAATCAGACCATGAAATTAATATTCAGACACAGTAGAGTAGTCCTTTTCATTACTTAAATGGGCTTAATTGGAGTTACAGCAATTTTAGATGGCGTACTAGCAGCACTATATAAATTAGGTGTGCGTTCCTATGAATAATACAGCCATTATCCAATTCCCCTTCTTCTTAATTTCATTCTCCTTCTTAGAAGAAGTTAAAGCTTTTGTCACCTCCTTAATACGAATGATATTTTGCTCTTAGGAAGGAAATAATGGAACGATAAATGGTGCCACACCGTAAGACAACAGCGGGAACGTCACTGGGAGCAGTGGTACAAGGCTTTTGTCTTCTGCAGTAATAAGCGCCTTGAATTTTGCCATGGTTTCAGCCTGATGATAAAGTGTAATGTGCCATGACCTGCTACACTTAGCAGACAATGGCAAGATTTGGAGTCAGCAGTAAAACCTCTTTGTTGCTTTTTCTCCTCGTGCTCACGTCTACGCTCACGCTTGTTTTCCTTTATAACTGAGCAAGAAATGTCTGAACATACCACTGTCACATGCATCCGTTCAGAAATACTTCCTGCAACAGTGACACCGCTCTCGTAATCCTGCATTGACCAAAGGGCTGCTCTCTGCGTGTAGGTGGTGTGCTGGGTGGTGAGTTTGACTCTGTTAGTAGATGAGAGAAAGGGGATGCATCCTTGAGCTCACCGAACATTTTTGATCTTGGAAGTTAGTGACTTCGTACGTGTTGCTTAACCTCCAAATTACCCAGAAGAGTGAGGATCCTGGACAGAGGTGGTCTAAGCGATGCTGTAACTTTCAGATGGAGATGCCACTGAATTAAACTTCCTTCTAGTAGCTGTTTACTCAATGTTTTTAATAGGTGATGTAGTATCCCTGCACGGAGCAGTACATGCTTCCTATGAAAAGGTCCTGTTTTTCAGACTTCAGAAACCCTGCCACAACTTCTGTTTCCTCAAATGAAAATATTCTCCTCTTTGTTATCCTTCAGCAAATGCTTGAAAAGACTCTACTAGAATGGGAAATTTCCCTTTTAAACTTCTATTTGTTTGAAAACCACTCTTCAGAAAAAAATAAATAATCTGGAAAAAATGGACAATTTAACTTTTAATTTGCATTTGATATTTTATCCAGCTTCTCAAGAAGCAGTCAAAGCTTTTAGTACCCAAATGAGAATTGGGTTTGCAAAGCTTCTCAGCTTTCACTGGAACTTGAATGTTTCTGACTTTGAATCTTTTGAACATCCTCTCATAACAAAGTTGCTGAATAAGCATATTCTTTCAGCTCAATTCTGGGCTACGTTTTAGGGTCAGAGTTACTTTTTTAATGGCCATTTGAGCCTTCCTGATAGTTTCCATTCTCATAGTTATTCAGAAATGTGCATGAAATGGGAATGGATTTGAATATTTATCTTGCTCCCCTTTCCAATTACTTGCCATGCTTTTTATAGGCTTAATTTTTCCTTCAGTATTTATGATATATTCTTGTCTGACTTCAGTTCTGAGCAGTTGTCGTAACTGAGACTTAATGACTGGTTTTTGATGGCGAGTATAGATGCATTCAAATAAAACATTTTATTGTAACATATTCTAAAAACTTACCAGGGGTATTAATTGCACCGTTAGTGATTCAAACAGCGAACTGAATTTTTAGTTTGTAGAGCCTTATAATAACAGCCAAGTAAATCATTGATACAAAAACTGTTTGTTAAAGTACCTGAAGTTTCACCTCGCAGCTTAGGAAGCAATATTTGTTTTCTTTCCTCTATTCAGTTGAACTTGTTCGCAGATAGCCTATCCTATATGCACTTGAAGTTCTCAATTTTGGTAATGAATATTTCTAGAAGTATTTTCTTGATCAGCGAGTTTTTGTGAGCAGTTGATTGCAAGTAATTGGCAATCAAAATGCAAGCTGTGCTGATTCATTTTTATTAGACATATCACTTATAACAAGGTATTGTTTCTCTCCCCAGACAGAGGTTCCATTTCAGGGAAATATTAAAGGAGAAATTTCAAAGGGACTTCAGAGAATGCTTAAAGGTAAGTATGTTCCTAAGCACTTTACTGAATTCAGACTATAATGAGAATAATTCTTAAAAGCAAGTTTCTGCTATGAATAGTTGTGTTTATGAGTTTTAAAATCCACTTTCTGTCTGTGTTCTCCAATGTTAATTTAAAACTTGCTGCTTCCATTAACATCCCTGCCAGAAAATTCACTTGCCAGAAATAGCTGTAGAGAGGGAGCAGAACAAGAATGTGAATGCAACCACAGCAAATGCTGTTTTTGAATGAATAGTCAGGGGAATAGGAGGTACAATTCCAATCTAATTACAGCCTAAACAATGTATGTCATCCATTGAACTAAAGGATTTAGAATAAAGGCTTTTTTAATGTACATTATCTAGCCACCCAAATATGGAATGAATTTGTTCACTCTTTGGTGTTGTGTTTTTTTTCACACAATGAGTTATACAAGACAAACGGATGTTTACTGCTCTCAAGATCTTCCCTTTGCCATCAGAACAAAAGATTTTCAAAAGCAGTGGTATTGAATCAAATGTACCTGTGCATATGGGCAGAAATGACCAGCCCCCTCCCCAGTTTTGTCATGTAATTTAAGGAACAGAATCTACAGCGCTCCAAATGATGTTTGTCAAGTAATCTACAGCGTGTCATACAGAGGGGTTCAGGCTTCGTTAAAATCTCATTCTTAGCCAGAGGCTGGAGGTGGAGGACTTGGTACAGGTAAGGAAAGCTCACTGCATGATCAGAGCCTGAGGAGGTCAAATTTCTTCTGCCACCTGCCAAGAGATAGGCCTGCTGTGCAGCTTGTTATTAAAAGGCAAAAACGTGTGGTGGACTTTTTTTCTGGACAGGGTATGATCTGCCCAAGCCTACGTTTAGGTATCTAACCAGGGGATTGGCAGTTTAGGTTATCTCCAGTGATCTTAACAGCATCTTAGCTCACTCAGTAAAGAAACTTCACTTACAATATTTTAAAATGCTTTTATTTTCAGCAGTTAAAAATGTGTGCACACAGGTTCGTCAAACTTTAACATATCTGATGTCACGCATTTAACTGTATTAGAAATCTAATCTTATTTTGGATGATTTCCTGAGTTAGCACTGGGTACTGAATTTTCATTATCAAATGTCTGGTTATTATTATGTGTGTAATGTATTAATTATGTAATTTTATAATAGCTGAAAATATATTCACAGTGGTGTAGCATTTTACTCACTGAGTTTGAAATTGTAATCAACAACCTGTTCCTTAATTTAGAAAAAAGAACCGTATCAAACACAAATATTAACCATTCTATCTTTCAGTGATACTTCTAATAACAAAAGAGCTGGAAGTGAGTCACTAAAACTATCAAATGAGTATGTGCGTGTCCATCCTTTACTAAGGAAAAGGGAAGTCTTGCTTACCTGGCAGAAATCAAGGGAAGGATGGTTTCTCCTTATTGTTTTATAGGTATTTCTGTGCAGTTTGTAAGTGCAAACACTTTGAGTATATCAAAATACTGATTTTTGCTATCTTATCAATGTTTTCTGATTGGAGTACGAGGGTGGATTTTGATCTGATGAGAGAAAAACTTTTGAGAGATCTTGTCCCACTCAAAGCATTGTGGCAACTTGCACAAATAGGTGTCACCTGGGGATAACTAAATACAGATAGATGTGAAACAGTGTAAGTACTTTACAGCTTGTTCTCTGCAAGAGCATGGAGAAGGAGGAAAAGCCAGAGTGCCAGCGGTTTGTTGCTAGGAGAGGATGAAGTCCTCAGCTCTGCTACTGATCTGCTGCACAGTCAATGTCGTTTCCCCTTCCTCTTTCATTTTAAGTATGTTGCAGCATCTTTATGGTCACAATGAGGCAGTAAGCTCAGTTGGTCCCTATCGGTGCCTTCTTAAATTTAAATCTAGGAAAGCCATCTTCCACTGCAGCGTGGGTTAGGTGGGAGTTAACCTGTGTTGTCACCCTCCATTTTCTGCATTCTCCTCCTGGGAAACACAGCCCCACTTGAGTAGGAGTAAAATGGGTTTATTAACAAAGGTGGTTGGGGAGAGGAAGTGTTTTAAGGCTACCTGGAAATTTTAAGTTGGAGGCCATGTGGGACTTCACAGGTACTGGCACAACGCTTTGCCTTAAAGCAGCAGAAAGTTAAGGAGCGCAGTGTCTCCTGGACATCCATCCCTACAAGCATGGTTGCCAAGGTTATTGTACATAAGCAAAGAAGTCCATTGTTCCTGTTTGCTAACAGGTGCAGCTCGAACCATTTAAAATATTTTCTGTGGTTTTCACACACGGTGGTTTGTGTCAGAAGGGCACAGGTCCTTTACAGTGACTTTCACAGGCCTTGGTAGCTGTCACCTCACGGCAGCCTGGAGCTCAGTGTGGCTCAGTTTCTCCTGGGAGCATCACAGGCTGAATTTTTAAGCCTAGAGCCTGGGCTCCTGTGCCAATTGTTGTTTCTGTGCTGCTCCCTTTTGTATCGCAGTGTGATGCTGACCCAGGAGTTCACGGCATGCTGACACGCACCAGACCTTTGAAGAGCATAATACTCTCAGCAGCTTCAGACAGCGGTTGTTCAGCAGCAGATGAAGTTGGCCAGCAAGTGAGTCAGCTACACACACACACACAAATCCTCATCCCATTAATCGCCGTTATCTCTGGGAACCCATCAACTTGCCTAGCAAACGGCTTTCGCAGAGGGCTTTGGAGAGCCATCAAGTTCAGCTTGCCTTAGACAGCTTTTATAATGGACCCCGTGCAGGTCAACCACAGGACTTGAACCGGGGAATTTCAGAGCATTAGTGAGCCAGGAAAGGGCAAGGGCTGTCATTCCGCAGCAGTAACAGAGTCATTAGTGACTGAGGTCAGCGAGAAAGCAGAGGAGGAGGGAGACCACACCAAAATGCATGGAAAGCTGTAAAGCAGTGGGAAATCCATGTAAGGTGTTTTCCCCTTTCACACCATGCCCTGCTGTCACACCTTCCTTCCTCAGTCACAGGGGAGATAACCCAGCGAGGAGGTGTGCAGAGGTCCCCTCCATGCAAGCCCTTTTACCCTTTACTCTTCCAGCAGTTGGGCTGGTGTGCTGGTGGGGTGGACTTCAGCCCATGAAACAAGCAGATGTAGCATCTATTAATGCATTAACCTGGCTGACCAGATAGTAAAAGGCTCCACACTGCCCTGAACTCTCTGAGAAGAGACTAAATTGGCTAGGATTCCCTAGTCGGGGTGAGGAATGATAGAGGGAAGATTACGAGAGACGTTTTATGAAATTATGAGTCCTGGAGGATGAATGGGAACCTTTAGTTTGTGGCTTCTTATTAAGTAAGTGGGCCTCAGGTTAAAGCAAATAAAAGGAAGGCTTTCTCTTTACCAGGTGTAATTAAATTGTGCATGCAAGTTGTTGCTTCAGGATACCGTGGGGGTCAGGAAATGACATTAGAGACATTTGTAGAGTGTACGTCAATCCATGCCTAGTAAACATTGCGGTCCATCCTGCTGAGGTCTTCTCCTGCTGGGACGATTTTTAAACTTTGCACAGCCAATATGAGGGGAAATACCACTTTCCTCTCTGCATTCCTAAGCATCAGTGCTAGCTGTTGTCAGAGACAACATCCTGGGTAGAATGCTTGATGTAAATCTGTGTAGCTACTTCGATGCTTTTAAGAAATTTTTGACCCATCTCTGAATTAAGACGTGGGGTCTGCAGCTTGGTACTTTGTAGCTTCAACCTGTCAGTACAAAACTTTCTAACGGGGTTAACTCGCTGCCCAGCCAGTGGACCAGGGAGGAGAGGGACGAGTGATTTACTTTAAATCACCCAAGAGCTGTCTTCTCTGATCTGCACCGTGTACACCCTGTTGCTATTGCGGCAGGATCTTCATGGGAAAATGAAAACACAGAATTTCATCTAAGGCATTCATTCTCCCAGAGTACTTTAAAGCAGACATGATTTTATATTCACAACACAAAAACTTGATCCATTCAGTATTTCACTTGAGCACGTCATTTATTTTCAATCTCCCTCTGAGTAAAGAAAGGTACTACAATAATAAATGAAAACATAAATTCCTTTGAATTGCTGTTCTTTTCTTACCTTTTATATTGCTGCTGAGATTTTTTTTTTTCTAACATTGGTTTCTCTTCCTGGACCACTTTCTGGTCTATCCAGTGAAATTTCTTCATGTTGGCATTAAGAAGAAGAGAAAATTATCTCTCAAATGCTGGTGGGGAGGGGTGGGGGCACACCAAATATTTAAGGATTGTTATGGAGAAAGTGACTAACTCAGTAGCTTGTGGGCATTCAGCAGGACTGCCTTCAGCTGCATGTATAACCCTGTGCATTTTTCTTCTTTGTCTCTCATATTGAAGGTAATTCCTCATGACTGTTTTGGAAAAGTGTGTTCAGCTTGCATGTTGCATCATGGTTTTTCTGTGGAAGTTCTTGATACTGTCTTGTTTGTGGAACAAAACCAACACCAGAGCCTCAGCATTTGTGATGAAATATAGCTCTTGTTTTCCACACGGGCCTGCTGGTGACATGGAAATGCTGGCAGCAGAAAGCAGCTGTTGTGGCACAGCTTGTCAGGAAAGGAAACCCAGACCTTGGGCTTTCACTGCCCTGGGCTTCTGGTGACAGGTGCCCAAATTCTCCTATGAAGAAAGGCTGAGAGAGCTGGGGCTGTTCAGCCTACAAAAGAGCAGGCTCTGGGATGACCTTCTTGCAGCTTTTCAATACTTAAAGGGGGTTTATAAAAGAGATGGAGAGCAACTAATAGTTGCCAACAACACGAAGTGGCCGTAATCCACAGTATGGGAAACAAGTGAGGCCAACAGGCGTGGGCTGCTGCTCATGCGGCAAGAAGGAAACAATGCTTTTACAAAGTGTTTTGTTCAGGAAGCTCTGTTAAGATTCACCAAATACTTCTTTAGATAAATAACTGTTCTCCTGCCATTTCAGCTACGTGGTAGGTCAACTAACTGTGAGTTGTCCTTATCTTGTAAAACTGAGTCAGTCATTG